GTGGTCTTGCCCTGGAGCATCGCAGCATGTGGGACCATTGAGGTCTTAGGTGTGACTGGAGGTGGAAATGGAGTTATATCTGGACATGTTGCAGCCAGGAAAGATAGGCCCTGATCATGATGTAATTATGAAATGATTTTTTCCCCAAATCATGTAGAATTGCTCCTGACAGTGAGGTCTATTTGGAAGTCTTCTGGTCATTGGTGATATGTCCTTGAAGAAAACAGTGGGACTCCAGCTCCTCCTGCTGCCTCCCTTTTGCTTCTGGGCCATGAGCTGACTAATGTTGCTCCAGCACACATTTTTGCCATAATACAGTGCTTTGCCACAGTTTCAAACCAACAGGGCCAATCAATCCTGGACTGTACACTCTGAAGCCATGAGCCAAAATAAAGCAGATATTTGTTATAGTAACAGAAATCCAACACAACCATCTTTGTCACATCCACAGAACTCAGCACAGATCTTCATACCTTGTAGGTTTGCTGAAGTGTCTGTTGAATGAATGGCACATGAAGCAAAGCTTGCCCTTGCTGTTAGGATAAATCCCACATCCCTCACATGGCTTGAAACTTCTCCAGCCTCATTTAGTTCCAACTCTGCTTGGCATTAGCCACAAGCGCTGCCAGTCCATTCTCTGGTGGTTCCTATCTCAGACTTTCTGTATCCCCTTCTCTCTACCTGTAATATGCTCCAAGAAACATTCACCTATGAGTTTTGTTAGCATCTTTCAACCTGTGGCTAAGTGCTCTCCAAGGAAAGTGTCCTTGCCCCTGCCAAGATGGCTTCCCCTGCCCTTTGTTCATATAGCACCTTCTGTTTACTTTGAAGTTCTTACTCTAAAGTGCTGTACATGCTCATGTGATTATAGAATTAAAGCTGGGCTTCCTGACTAGGCAGGAAGGTCCCTAAGAGGAGGGAGGCTCTGTTTGCTTGCTCATTTATTTTGTTTTCAGCTCCTTCTCTGTGGGGCTCAGAACAGTGCCGAGCACAAAGCAGGCACTCATAATCACACCACTAGGTGGTAGATAATTGATGGTTGCAGATACAAACCAGACTCAATTTTAGCTATTTTTCTCTACATCATTTCATTCACTTCAAGTTATCTAATAACGTATTAGAACAAATCAAACCTTATCTCTGACTGGCTTAACCCTTGCATCACTTGGTTTCTGGCAACACAGGAACAAAGGCTATAGTGTTTGGGTTATGGAGGAGTAAAAGTAAAGGCCATGTAGAGACAAATCCCTTCAGGTCTCATAGGTGAGGAAACCCCAAGGAACCCTTTATGGGGAATAATTTGGAGGGAGCTAGAGCTTGTGCCCAGACATGTCTATGAGAGTGAGACTGTAGGGAATGGAGAATGAGGGGCTTGCAGTATGGCATCATGTAGATTGTGAGTTGAGACCATTAACATTGATGGTTATAACTGATACATATTGACTTATTGTCATGATGTTTTCTTTTTGTTGGATTCTCCCCCTTTGCATTTAATTTCTTCTTGTGCCTGATGGATTCATTCTGCTGCATCCTGGGGTTGTGATCCTCATTGTCTTTTCCTAGGATATAGTCTAAAATTTTTTGGAGTGCTAGTTTGGTATTCATGAAGTTCCTAAGGTGCTCTTTGTCATGAAAACATCTTATTTTTCCATCAATTTTGAAAGATAGTTTTGCAGGGTACATCAATCTGGGATGGAGGCTGTTTTCCTTTAGGGCTTGAAATATGTCACTGTCACTCCATACTCTTCTTGCCTTGAGGGTTTGTGTTGAGAAGTCTGCTGTGATTCTGATGGGCTTTCCTTTGTCTGTGCTTTGTTTCTTTTCTCTCACTGCTTGTAGAATTTTGTTCTTCTGTTGGCTTTCTGGAATCTTAACTATTATATGCCTATGTGTAGATTTTTTTTAATCAAGGCTAGCTGGAGTCCTGTTCTTCTGATCTCATACTTTGCAGACTTAGTACTAGTTGGAGTCCTATATGCCTCTGTTATCTGTATCTTTCCCCTGCTTGGGAAGTGTTCTGCCATCACTTCTGTGAAGAGTGTTTTTATGTCATCTGCATTCTCTCCTGTTTCTTCATTGACTCCGTTCAGTCTTATGTTAATCTTTTTTGCATCGTCTAGCAGCTGCTGGATTGATTTCTCATGGTCCCTTACTATTTTAAATAATTTTTTCTTTTCCTGGTCACTAATTGCAATCTTATCTTCTATATCTGAAATTCTGTCCTCACATTGGATCATTCTGCTGCATAAACTTTCAATGGAGTTTTTAATCTCCTGGAAATCTGTTGGCATCTGTTTTAGGGATTCCATTTGTTTCCTATGTTGGGATTCCATCATGTTCCTCAGCTCATGTATTTTTTTATCTGTATCTACTCTAGATATATTAATCATGTCTTGAACTATGGGCACAATCTATGGGCACAATCTCTGTTAGCTGAGAAATTATTTCTGATTTCATTTATTCCAGATCCTCTTTCGTTGCCAGTTCAGGGAGTCCAGGTGTTTGAGTATCAGATTGTTCCATCTCATTTCCCTTTGGGGTTGCTTTAGGTGATCTGGAAGTCTGATTTTAATTCTTGTTTATGTGTCTTCTCATTTCAACTGGGGGTTGAGGTTGTGGCGCACCAAGCCTCTGCTCCTCAGCTTGGGGTGGTGGTATGTTGGCCCAAAAGGCTCAGCTCCTGGGCCAGGCCTTGGCTTCTTTACTTGTCAAATGGAGAAAAAATGCTCTACTTGTCTTGTAAGCTTACTGAAAAGACAAAAGAAAATTTTGTAGAGGTTTCAGTCCATAATTGACTGGCTCCAAGGCAGGGAGGGTGGCAGAGGGGCAACCGTTCATGGTGGTGGAACCAGCTGGCATCATGTAGATTGTGATCCCTCCATAGTTTCGTGGTTGAGAGCCTCAGTTCTGGAATCTGACTCCTTGAGTTCAAGTCCTTACTACCAGGGTGACCCCAGGCAAATTTTGGAATCTCCCTGTGCTTTAGGTTTCTCATCTGTGGGAATGGAGGCTAGAAATACAAGGATTAAATGGGTTAAATATGCAATGAGTTTAGAAAAATGCTTGACACATGGGATGCATTGAGAAAGGCTACTTGAGCCAGTGTTAGCAGCTCTTGGTGTTTTAGTCTATGTAGAGACGTGTCCTTAATATATGACTCTAGTCCTCCTCTCTGGAGCAGTGGACTAACTAAACTCATTAGAGAATTTAGATGGAAAAAGGGCCTTAGATGAATCTCTTCTTATTGAAGACTATCTGGGGGATACTTATATTCCACTCAGCTCCTGCAGACTTAGGTTTGTCTTGGCTCACAGGCGCTGTGGCTGGTGGATAATTCTGACCAGCTCTGGGGTTCAGGATCAGAAGGAGCAATTGCAGTGGATGTGAGCCTGATTCTCTCCTATCCACTGTTAAGTGATCACATTTGGTCACAATCTGCCTGGCCCCTTCATTTTGTTTTCCCTCCTGGTTTAGAACTCAAAGAGGTGACTATTTATTGGGTGGGTTCTTTTGAAGGGTTCAGGGTCACATTTAAATTGAGTAGAAACACAAGAGAGAATGAATGGTAGGGGTCTTAGTATCCCAAGTCACATTCTAAGAAACAGAACTAAAATAGAAAGTATCTTTGGAGATGGCGGGGGGGGGGCACTGCACCAATGTTGTCTACCTGATCATCAACAGGACACTCCTAAAAATCAGAATCCATAGGCCCTTGGAGCCAGAGGATGCATATGTTGAAACAGAGGAAGTGGCATGACAGCTGTTTCTATCTATAATTGCCTGTTGTTAGCATTGACCCCCGGCAGTGAGTCACATCAACATGAAAAAATGTGTGCCAAACTCAGAAGTGTGACACAAAGCAGTGATAGTACTTAGGGCTCAGAGGGACAGAAATGAGGGGCCATAGGGCTGGGCAAACAGGGTAGCCATTCGTAGGTGAAGGAACAATTATGCGTGATGTTTGTCCAGTAGGGTATGGACCAAGCAATTTAACTCACTTGTTTAAGATAATCCTGCTTTCTCTCATTTCCTGTCTTCCCTCCTTTCTCTCTTTTTCCCATTTCCTCCCTGCCTCCCTTCCTCTCTCCTTCTCTTCCTTCCGCCTGATTAAGCATTGCAGTTTGAATACCTGGCAGCCAACTCTGAAAACCAATTTAACGGGCAGTGTCTATTAGAGCTTCCTTGGGATGAAGAATGATGGAAGAGAGAAAAATGACAGGGATTGGATCAGAGGAGAAGTTGAGCTGTGATACAAACTTGGCTGACTTAGCTAACCTCATAGGGATTCTGGATCTTCAGTGTTGCCCCGAGTTGGGACAAAATGGCTGAGATTTTTTGTCATTTCAATTTAATCCATTTTTGGAGATGAGTCTTGTGAAAAAGAGAATGACCTTGGAAGACACTTAAGCATTGCTGCAGCTAAAAGACTCCCTTAATGGACAGAGAGCTGCGAGCTTTTGCCTTCAGCAGGACCAGGCTTGGACAAGCACATGGTCACTGAAGGGGCATCTGAGTGGCACATCAGGCGACCACAGCAGGCCTCAGTGGAATGTTTGCAGCAGAGAAACCCAGCATTGTTATGAGGCAGAAATGAGGAAAGGGGAGGAGGAAGTACTGAAATCAAGGAGGGTAACAGCAGGGCTGTGGTAAGGCTTGAGAATATGATGGAAAGATGGAAATAGAAAGGGTAGAGGAGTTCACAGGCTGCCCTGCAGTGGGGATGGTTGGAACGAATCCTGCAGAATGGATGGGAATGCTGGTGGTGCCAAAGCTGCTCCTCCAACTTATTTCTCCAGTGCATGTTTCAGTCTAATTTTCTACAAGAGAAAATTCCCCCAGAAGTGATACAACCAGCAGTTATAACACAGAGTGTCTTTCCTTTTCAGTCCTGCTTTTCTTGATTAACTCTTGAGGGAACTTTGTATAATTATAGAGTGACAGAAACTGAATTCAAAGTTTTTCTCTCACTAGTTCTAATATCTGATTCTGCTTTGTTTTAGCAGCTTCCCACCTGAGAAAACCTAGAAATCATCTCTAAGAGAGAATGTAGCGGAAATGTTGAAGTAAGTGTCATGTTGAAAATCTAGTAAGTATTAAGCACGGTGCTAAGTGATTGTCTTGATACATCCAACTCTTTCCAGTCTTGTAACATCCTTTCTAACATGGTGCAATCATGAGAAAGGTAAATCCCATTTTACTCATTTTACAGGTAACAGAGATGGGATTCAGAAAGGTTACATGAGAAAATCTCTCGTGAAAAAGAAGGCTAAATGAAACATTCTAGGCCTGTGGTGGTGAACCAATGGCATGGGTGCCGTAACCTGTGTTTGTTATCATTGAAAGCTCTAAAAGGTTCACCATCACTGCTCTAGACTGTTCTATTTGATCCATTTTAAAATAAGAATCTTGTGAGTGAACTGTCTTTTCTCAGTTTTCATTTGCAAAACAATATTAGTTTTTAAAGTTTCTGGTTTTAAGGTAAAGTAAATGCATGAAACATTCATCTTTCTGTCCAGATTTAGCATGCTGAAATCTGCCCAGAGCAAAATTTCATGGCTGAGAGCTCCAGAAAATAACATTCCAAGTTGAAGTTCTGCACCAGACTTCACATTCTAGCCCTATTTAAAGGAGCATCTTAAGTCTACCATGCAGTGGCATTTGGGTTGATGAAATTTTTGTTGAAGGAAAAAAGAAGATGAGTATAGCAAAATTTGTATTGCTTTGTTTCTGTAGCTTCCCACCTGGGGAAACTGAAAAAGGATTTGTGACAGAGAATGTAATAGGAATGCCAAATTGTCCTGTGTCCCATGATATGAGGAGGCTCCTGGAACAAGAGGGACCATGATGGGGATGTGTTGTAGCAATAACAGGGAGCCTGTCTTGAGAGTCATGGTCTACCGGGGACACCTCCATGAACACCCACTTGTCTCTAGCCAAGTTGCAAGGGGCTGTGGCCGTGTCTTTATCCTTTAGAGACCCAAAACAGAGGGCCTTAGGTGTACACATTTTTGTGGGCTTAAATATGAATGTCTGATTCTGGAAATGGCGCAGCTTCTAAGGGAAAAACGATTGAGACAGGAGGATCTCAAGTTCAAACCCAGCCTGAGCAAATTAGTGATTTAGTGAGATCTTGCCTGAAATTAAAAACATAAAAAGGGATTTGGGATATAGCTTAGTGAGAAGGTCCTGGGTTCAATCTCAAGTTCAAGCAAACAAACAACAAAAGAATCTAACAATAAATTTATGATTTTTTTTTTGGTACCAGGGGTCAAACTCAAGACCTTGTGCTTGTGAGGCAGGCACTGTGGCACTGAGCTAAATTCCTGGCTAAATTTATAAAATTTGACATCATGTCCGCCAGTCTACTGCAATTCAATACACATATATACATACCTAACGTGTGTTCATATATATTCTCATATTTACTTTATATATTACATATATATGAAATGAACTTAAGCACAAGAAATCAGTAATTTATATGAAAACAGATTCAGAATTATTGTTATGAGCTTTTACATTTTGATAAATGAAACAATTCTTGCTAAGGCGGAATGTAGACACTTTGTGTTTCAGCCACATGGGTGAGGGCCTCTGAAATCCAGTGCCTGGATTGTCCAAGGTTTACAAATGGCTTTTGCTGCTGGAGCCCCTTCAGGGTAATATCCCTCCCAGGGAAAGATTCCCAAAGAGGATAAAGCTGGAATTGAGTGTTGAGTACAAAACAATCATGGTGACCGGTCACACATCCCACAGCCAAGGAGTGTTCCAAAACCAAACAGTCAAGGCTATCCACTTATCTGACAATGGGCTGGGCACTTCATACAATGCCCATTCAGGCTTTAGGGCAGCAAGAACTCACCCTTACTCTCAAATTCATACAAAGTTGACTGAGCAAGTGTAGGGTCACTTAATGGCCTTCCAGCTGACTTATGTTTCTCTTTTACAACGCGACTAATTCTCCTAGACTCAGTGAAGGCAAAAAGATCAGAGACCAAAGGGACATGGGGTAGAAAGGCAGGAAGCACAGAGCAAACAGAACGCACGCCCTGGAGCACATGACCAGGCCTGGCCTCCGGCAATGCTGGTGGTACTCTGTTTATCTGCAACCACTGTACTTTCTTGTTCATGTTCATCTTCCTTGCTCTGTCTGCTAGCTCAGGGAGGAAACAGAAGTGGAATTTGGAGCAGGATGTCATAGTCCCAGGTTTTGTCTTCCTTAAGGATCAGAAAAATCTCGGTGTGTCATTTGTTTGGGTAGGATTTTAGAAGATTTGCTTTGAATCAGAAGACTCAAAGGAGTTGTGGCTTTGCTTCTGGGAATGATGGTTTCATGCATTGCAGTAGAAACCACCTTTTCCTCCTTGGCCTGTCCAAGGGCCAGTTTCCCTAGTCAAACTAACACTGGGCCTGTAGATGGGGAAACCAAGCCTAAAATATAATCCTTATGTGGTTCAATTTTAAATTTCACTTAACAGTAAATTTTAATATTTTTATTTTCCCACATGGGCTCATTTACTTATCTTTCCTTACTTTCACATAACAAAAGAAGCGAGAACGTAGTTTCTATTGAGTTCTTACTCTCTGGTGAGTCCTTGGCTGAGTGGCTATTTTTCCAATAATACTTCTACCCCATTCCTACAAATTAGGGATTATTGACTCAGTTGAGAATTGAGAAAATGAAGCTCAAGGATGTTAAGAGAACAGACAGAGGTTAACGAGTTGGGAGTGGCAGATCCAAGACACCAAACCAGGATTCCTAAGCATTTACTGTTTTTCACAGCCCAGGACACATGTATTGTCTCTCCTCTGCCTGCTGATAGAAAGTAAAAACAAGCTCTGCTGGAGGATTGTGTCAAGTTCCATTTCAGGTATGTTAGGAATAAAGAGAGAACATGCCCTGCAGTTGGGGTCTATGGGTTCAAGAAACCCACTCTCCTGGGGATAAGAATGTGGGCTTTCATATGGGGTAAGGTAAGCCTCCTAAAATGAGCCACCTTCTAGGAGGTTGGGAGAGACTGGTTTTGAGAAAAGAGATTGGTTTTGACTGAAATACTTAGGAAGGCTTCATGTTAGAAATGATATTTTGAGATGTATCTTGAAGGAAGAAGTTCTTCTATGCAGAAGAATAATTCTAAAAAAATGCCCTTTCTGGGCAACCAGCAGGCCTGCGTTTTCCTGGACACCAAGGCCAAGCGTGCTATGGGAGCAAGCATATTTGCTCTGAGCTTCCAAACTCAAGTCTGTTCCTCAGTGTGGGATGTGAAATTCTTCATATTACTTTCTCAATCACAGAGTCCAGGGCTGACTGTACCACTGACAGCTCTAGGAAGCCTGGAGCATGTGACTAGGAGACCATACGACAGGGGAAGGGATGGGAACTGTCCTCGGCTGAGGGAAAAGTGTGCCCTGAAGTCTTGTGCTGAAATGGGAGGAGATGCTTGAAGACTTCATCGTGGCTAAAGTGTAGAGGAAAGAAAAGCAGTGAATGTGGTTACTACCCCTATTTTACAAATAGAAAAAGAAATTCAGAGCTAGATGTGACTTATTAACTTCACCTTCATGGAGTAGATGGGCAGTACCCCAAACTGTCCAACTGACCCCCTCTTTCTATGCTAAGCCTGCTTTGGAAGAAGAGCTGGCAGCATGCTTTGGTTAGCTCTGAGTTTTGGTGGGAAGGGAGCTCTTTGTCTGGTTTTTCCCAGCATCATATAATAAAAGCACCAAAGTTGTGTAACCAGAGCCAAACCGTGCTCTCTCCAGCTGTCTCGTCCACTCACAGCTAACACACACCAATGTCTTCTGAACTTCGTGACATTCACATTTCTGTGTGCAATTCCTTTTTCCACTTTTTCCATTTTTTCTCAGTTAATATCCAAAGACTTTTTAAGAACTGTGAAGAAAAGACTCTTGCTGCTCCCCTAATCTCACTAAACCAGTGGTATTTACTGAGCTTATTAGAGCTTCTCTAGGTCAAGGCCATAAAGCATTGGACCTTTGCTCCCCTCTCCAGCCATGCACATGTCTCTGCGTGCATTTTTCAGGGGCTGCTTGGTCCTCTAAGCCCACCCCTGGGTTCCTTCTCCATTTTAAGTATTCTTTGGCCTCTCCTCTCCTCACTCCTTGATTCCTGTTTTGCATGTTGTCTGTCCTTAATGGCTCCGGCAAGCAGGTAACTGTGGAAAGAGCAGTGGTCTGGGGGCCAGAAGTCCTGCCTATACAGCTTACTTGCTCTGTGACCTTGGATAAGTCACCTATTCTTTCTAAACATTTGTTTTCTCTTTGGGAAAGTCAGTTGCTTGAATTTTTGTAAGGATGCAGTGAGTTCCATCATCCTAGTGCCTGCTGTGAGCACGATGGTTGTAATGATTAATGGATATCTCTGAGACTCATTGCTGCTGTCTGTAATTCAAGGTGTTGTGTCAGCTGCTTTCTGGTGTTTCCAGGCCATAGGCCTGATTCTTGGCCATTCTCTACTGTTTGGCTCTCCATTGTCTTCTTCTCCCTCTGACTGCCTCCCACCCCCTTCTTTATGCACAGGATAAGCTCAGGACATGGTGAGGACCCCTCTCACCGGTACTGGTGGTGCTTTCCCAGCAGCTCAACTGGAAAGATTCAAGGTGAGGTGGGAGAGAGGGAGGATTCTGAGACCAGAAGTGCTAATGCCCTGAGGGAGACCAAGTCTTTCCAAATCACCAGGCTGGGGGAAGAGGTGGCCTTTCAGGGGTCCAACAGAACCGAGTAGCCCTTAAGGGAATCTGAGGCCAGTGAACTCTCTGTCTGCTCCTCAATCCTTTCTCTGGCCTGCTGGACTATTTTCAGCCTAGGAGTCAGTTTTTATTAGCATCACTGAGGATTCCTTTGGGTCTCCCTAATGACCATGCACAGAAATGAGCATCTCACAGGAAGGCAAGGCACATCAAGGTAAAGGGGACAGCTTCAGAGCCGGGCAACCCAGAGCTTCTTCCAGCTCAGCTCTGTCACTTGCCTGTTCTGTGGGCTCTGGCAAATGACTCATTCCTCTTTCTCTTGCAATCCTCTTTCTCCTGGCATACATATTTGAGAATAACAGTAGCTATGTCTTAGGATTGCTTGGAAGATGATATGTATATTTGTATCAACATGTGTTCACCATGACCATACAAGACAGAAAGCTATGTTTTGTATAAGTTGGTAGGATTTAGAGTGCACCCAAAATTAAACACTCAGCGAACAAGAGAAAGGGCTATGATGTGATGAGTACATGGATGGCCATTGATAGCTTTCAAATTCTGTCTCTATCCCTGGCTGCCACCTGAGGAGAGTTTCTTAGACTTTGTGTTTTATTGTCTATCTGTGAAATGTATATAACAATACCTGTAGTAGTGATGCTCACATGGTTCAATTTATGCAGAGCAGGATCTGGCCTGTGGAAGATTCTGTAGGTGATAGCCAATCTTTATGGGTCTCACATAACAAGAAGATAATGATCGTGGTTTCTGAGTTTATCAGCCCCAGCAATGTCAAGAGAGCAGTCAGCCTCATGAAATCTCAGGTATCTGTCTTCCTGATTACAAAATAGCTGATACTGCAGCTTGAAGCATAAGGCTCCACACTACAGAACCCAAAGCAAGGGAGTAAGGGTACAGTCCAAGAGCTTACTCCTCAGTCAGCTATTTCTCTTTATTCCAAGAAATCCTGACTGTCTCCTTTTTTCTCATTGGCCAGAACTGGGTTGCTGGCAAATTGAATGAGATTCTATGACATAGACGAGTCGTGATTGATACTCTGAGAATGGACAAATTGCTTCTGATACCAGATTAAAATGCTATTAGCAAGGAAAAGGGACAATGCTTGCTTGATAGGCAGCTAACAATACTGGATTAATCTTTATTTTAGAAATAATGACATAGGACTCAGATTGCCGAAGTGACTTACCCATGGTCACATGAAGTAGAGGTGTCAGGCTCTGGACTGGGGCACAGATTCTCTGACCCCCAGTCTCTTTGTTCATTTCCATGTTTTACTTCTTTGTTAACCAGAAAGTATCATGAAGGTATAGTGTATTGTTTGGGGATTGCGGCATTAAGGGATCCCTGTTTTAAAGGATAAATGTGATGTTTTGGAAAGGAAATAGAAATCTGAGACTAGAATCAAATCTAGAATTACGAGGTAGTTCCTTCAAATCATAAGTTTTAGCTAGGTCCTATCTCCATTTATCCAGCCTTGCATCTACCATCCTGCTGTCCACCCACCCATCTATTACCCGTCTCTTCCTTATTTCCATTCATTGTTATCTATGCTACATACTTGCATTTATACTTTTTTTATACATTGACCTACCCATCCTAGCACCCTTCTGCATATTAATTGATCTATCCACCTGTTAAGCTCTCATCTACTTACCCACTTTACCCCTCTACCCATCCATACATTACACACTGATATATTCATCCATATATTCATTCATCTACCTATTTTCTACCCATACACTTCTCTTTTCTCCTTCCTTCCTTCCTTCCTTCCTTCCTTCCTTCCTTCCTTCTTTTTTTCATTTCTTCCAGTACTCTTGGTTACTTACCCTGACTCATTATCTGCCTCTTGGTGCTAGGTATTAGGTAATGTGACAGTGAAAAAGGTCTACTCTTTGGCTTTAAGAAGATCACATTCTGTTAAAAGAGGAGGCAAGCCCAATACAGTCAAGCAAGTGCTCCCTGGGGCTCGTGATATTCATGTCCAATACTCAGATTTTAAGTGGCCTTCATGGTTGGACAGACAAGAGCCAGTCAGCATGACTCTGCCCTCAGGGCGGAAGGGCCCTGCAGGTGGCTCTTGCCACATGTCCTGAGGTCCTTGTCCTGATATAGTTGTCCTGTAATCTGGCACAATGTCTTTGGAGTGAGCAAAAATGCTTACAGTTATTCAGATATTTTAAAACACCAAGTACATTTGGCAAAGCATTCCCCTTTGAATATTTCAAATCATGTTTTATTTAAGGGAAATGACTTTCATAAATTTCTGACCCATTTGAGCTTTATATCACTGTAATATTCTTTAAGAGCCAATTCATGTCCAATAGGGCTCTTCACCTTGTTTAATGACTTTTTAAAATTCTCTTTCCTTGCAGTCAAAACTGTATAAGCCAATTCGAATGCCAGAGGGTTCAAGTTCAGTTCAGAGTCTTCAAATCATGAATTCTGAGAGAATTTTAAGTTGGTAAAATGAGTTCTACTTATCAGTATTCAACTCTGCCTCCCCAGTGACCAGCCCCATGTGGGCTCATTGTGAGCATCAGGTGAAGTTTGAAAGCCTGGAATTTTCACTGAGCATTTAAGGCAAATCTCGCCTTATACCTATCTAGCTTTCTCCAGGCCAAGAAGCTGGGCTTGTGTATCTATTTATGAGCAACTGAGAAGAAGAATGAAAAACCAGCCATGATAGTCTTTATTTTACTGAATTTTAATTGGATCTCGTTTTTCATATCTATGGAAATTTTGGGTGGTATGATCCCTACCTTACTAATGAAAATCGCCAGGCTCAAAGAGGTAGAAATGTCAGACTAGGTCATCAGGGGTTCTGAACTCATTTCTTTTGTCCCTTCTAGCTACATATACTCCCAGTAAGCTATGCCCAGGGCTCTGTCTTAGACAGCATGTCAGGTATTCAACATGAGCACAGTATCTCATTTAATCCTTGCTGTGACCCCTCCTCTTACAGTTTAGGAATTGAAGCCTCTGGTATATATAAATAACATGTCCCAAATCACAGAGAAAAATAAAGCAGACTTGGGATTGAATCCTGATTTTAGCACTGTCTTAGCTTTTGGAAGGTTCCATAATAAATTACCTATGGTAGATTGTTTAAAACAACAGAAATTCTTTCTTACATTTCTGGATGTCAGAAGTCTGAGATCAAGGTGTGAGCAGGGCTGGAAATCTAGGTGAGAATTTGTCCTTTGCCTCTTTCTGCCCCTAGAGGCTGCTGGCACTCCTTGGCTTGTGGCCACTTCTTTCTCTGCTCTACCTTTACTATTCTCCTCCGTGTGTCTCTTCTAGGGACACTTGCTATTTGATTTGGGGCCACTAAGATAGTCTGCTATCATCTCAAGGTCTTTAAATGACTTGCTTTGGAAGAAATGAATTGAACTTAAGACCATAATGCTAAAGGAAATAAGGCCGGCACAGAAAGTTTAATATTGCATGGTTTCTCTTATATGAGAAAGCCAAATTCATTAGTACGTTAGAGGGCAATGGTAGGAAATAGAAAGGCAGAGTGTTTTAGAGATGGAGAAAGGGATCAGGGAAAAGGGTAGGGGTGCAAGAGGGCATCAGCAATAATCTAATGTATCTATTATACATGTTCATGTATATGTATATGTAGCTACAAGCAAGTGTAACTACTGTGCATCAAAAACACAATAAAAAAGAGTTTCTTTCCCCAAAAAAGTCACACCTGTGGGTTCTGGAAACTAAATTGTGGGCATACTTGTGAGTAGTAGTTATTTAATGCTGATGATTAGGGGATTTAAATTGCCTCAGTTTCTTCCCTGTGGGACAATGGTTCCTGTAGCACAATGGTGAATACTAAGAAGGAACCCTTGGAGTTAGCCCAGCAATCCACTCATGAAATGCTCTTTGCATGTCACACTCAAGGGCACAATAATAAGTAGCTAGAGCTCAACAGATGCACAGGGTGAGGAAAGGTGTCTTTGCTCTGCAAATGAGGCAAACCAAGACTTCACCTTAAACACTGACTTTCAGAACTTTGATCCCACTCTTGTACTGTGTCCCTCCCTAGCCCCCTTCTGCAGCCAGTATCTCCACTGGAATTCAGCTGAGTTCCTGAGAAATAAGCTTCTGCCTGGGGATTTGGAAGACTTTAGAATCTCAGTCCCCTGAGAAGCAGTGATGCCAAAGATGACAAAGCCTTTTCAGAAAGGATCCAGGGCTGCTCCACAAATAATTACCACTTAACTTAAATCACAGCCGGTACACCTGCAATCTGGCCTGGAAGTCAGTGGGTTTAGACTAAACAACCGGTGAAAATTCTGTTTTACCAACTTCTGGGAGCAAAACCTATTTTTAGCAGAGTGGATATTTGTGTGGATGGGTTAGTGTGAGTCATTTTAGTTTTCCATTATTGAAACAAATGCCAGAGATAATAAAATTATAAAGTGAAAATGGTTATTGTGGTTCATGGTTCAGGGGTTTCAGTCCATAGTCAGGCAGACTCATTTCTTTTAGGCCAGATTGCAATGGTAGAGAATGTATGGTGGAACAAACTGCTCACCTCATGGCTGAGAATTGAAACGAGAGGAAAAGACCAGACTCCCATCACTGTGTTCAAGGACACCCAATCACCTAATCCCTCCCACACAATACTCCACCTTTTAAAGGTTCTGCCATTCCCAATAACACCACAAACTGATGACCAAGCCTGGGGGGGACATTGCAGATCTAGCCTGTGAACTCCTTTTCTTCTGTTCCCCTCTTTTCTTCCCTCCTTTACATCCTGTTTTCTGACTTTTACTTTAAATCCCTGCTAACACTAGCATGTGGCAGGAGATGCCAGAACAGTTATAAAAAAAAGGACCAGGGAGTATATGATGTATCTACTGGCACAGACACATGGTTCCCCTTGG